ACATCGGCACCCACATCGAACCGAATCGGAATCAGAAACCATCGAAGCCAAACCGAATCGAATCGGATAATTAAACCGAAACGAGCCCCATGATTCTCGCTGGTCGAGAGGAGGAGGAGGAGGAGCAGGAGGAGGGGGGAGGAGGAGGAGGAGGAGGAGGAGGAGGAGGAGGAGGAGGAGGAGGAGGAGGAGGAGGAGCAGGAGGAGGAGGAGGAGGAGAAGGAGGAGGAGGAGGAGCAGGAGGAGGAGGAGGAGGACGAGGGGGGAGGAGTAGCGAGGAGGAGGAGGAGGAGGAGAGGAGGAGAAGGAAGGAGAGGAGGAGGAGGAGGAGGAGGAGGAGGAGGAGGAGGAGGAGGCGGAGGAGGAGGAGGAGCGAGGAGGAGGAGAGGCAGCCTCGCCAGGCCGGCGCCGACGGCGAGGCACCGCACACGAGCGGGCGGCCGGGAGCGGAGGCGGCCAAAGAGGGACGCAGGCGCGGGCGCCGACACGCACGCCGGGGCCAGCGCCGGCTGGCACCGCCGGAGGTTGCAGCACCGATCCGGGAGATCCGCGCGGTCTTCCGAGAGCTGTTGCCGATTGGTATTATTACTATTCGTCTTCGTTCTCTTTTTATTACTCGTCTTACCAGTACCCTTCGTATTGTACTTCTTCATGGTTGTTAATCGTGTTATGATCATTCCTCCTCTTCTTCTTCGAGCTGCGACATCTTGCCTCGAAGCGCAGACCCGACCCTCCACCCGGAGCCGCCCCGCTCGTGCCCGAGAGGCGGCGCAGAGGAGGGTGCGGCCCCAGCCCCCATGCAGAGCGCTCGGGGGGCCCCCTGTTTTTCGCAGCGGCGCCCAGGATGCAACCAGGGCGAGCGTCCCAGACAGCCTGCACCTGGCGAGCGCAAGAGGTCGAGGCCGCCCCCAAGGGGCCGGAGCAGCACGCGGGGTCGGAGGACCACGTCGCATCGCCGATGCCTCGCACAGGCATCGCAGCGACGTCGGGGTGGAGCAGATCGGGCTCCTCACTGCGCCGCACCGCTGGTGCATCGTCGATGCCACACTCGGGGGGGGTGGACAGAGCCCCCGTGAGCAGAGCACCCTTTGATGAGAACGGCCCAGGACCAGAACCCGTGGGCGCAGGCCCGCAAGACCTAGAACGGGCGACTCGCTGGTCAACTTGGCAGCGTGGGGGAGCGTGGGGCTCTGCCAACCTCCACAGCACCGTCGGTAGTGTCTTCGGGTTGCGCGCAGACTTGAGCAGGATCCGACCGTCCCGGCAATCCTACTGGCCTACCACGACATGTTCTTAACGCCCGAACTTGTTCTAATAACAACAACAGTGTTCTTGGACCATGAGCCCGATGTGTCAAAACACGACAGTCTCGGCCAGAAATGTTCTAAGAACGTTTCGTGCAGACCACAAGGTTCTCAGAACGTTATCTGGTGGGCCTATTGGTGAGCCAGGACGCTTCGTAACTGCTTGACAGACAACACCCATCAATACCCCAAGGTTGCCCCGACTGGCCTCAACAGCCCCCCCGCGTAAAATGTTGGAGGTCATGGTGCCAATCGTGGAAATAGCGATGCTATCTGCGATAGATAACATCGCCAGATTCCCCTTTAGATGAAATTAGCACCACACCCCATTGTACCATAGCCCTTTCCTACCTCCAGAAAAAATCTGGGGCGGTATCCACAACGGGGGCGCCCTCCCTGGCTGTGACCCGGGGGGCCTGCTGAGGCCAACCGGGACCGTCATGGCGATTGTCCGAGCGCCACCCGAAGCCTCACCACTTGATCAGCCTCCGAAACACTATCCTCCGACCCCATGCGCCCCGGCCCCCGTCGTAGGCGGCCCCGGAGAGGGACAGCCGCACGGAGCCCCTGGGCTAACGCGCTCTCGTCCCAGAGCTCCCATCGCACGGCGCTCTGCGCATCCCAACCGGGAATGCGCGCCGGTGACTTCTGAAACACGTCGACCCTCGGCTCTCGAGCCGCCAGAGGTCTGCGGATCTACAGCAACTACGCACGACAATATGTACGTCTTTGGATCAGAGTCGGCGGCGAGCCGGGGGGGAAACGAGAGGGGGTGGGCCTTCTCAGAAGGCTCGGAAGGAAGCGGGCCTTCTGAGAAAGCATGCAGCCTCCCGAAAAAAGCCCGCTTCCTCTCACCTCCCCCCTGGCTCTCGTCTCCGAAAGAAACCAGGGGCCGCTTTCCCAGACCCCCAGCGTCGTGTTTTTTTTCACGACGTCGACCCCCAGAGGTCTGGACACCTTCCATAGGACCAGATTTTCAGCCTGAATCATCTTTTGACGGCCCCGAGGCCCGGGAAGGGACCGGGAGACCGAAAATAGTTAAAAATCTTCCGTCGCGATTTTTGTCGCAACACGAGGGGGTCTGGGTCTGTCGTCCACCACTCACCTTCCTGAGGCATCTGGGCCTCCGCGGCCTTCGGGGGACGATGATCGCCGTGGCGCAGCTGCTGGCAGACTGGCTTCAGAAAATGTGCCTGCTGTGCGGTAGAACCGGCGGCGCGCACAGAAGGGGTGGCACGAGTGCGGCGGCCTTTGGAAACTCGGGGGGTTCTTACCCTGACATTGAAAACTCGGGTGGTTCTTACCCTCACCTTCCAGAATGCAAATAAACAGCTCTCCACAGACCTATAGACTTATCTGGGCTACCCCAAACCCCGACAGGAATTTGGCTGTCGATGTCCTGGTGCTATTTTTCAGCCCTCCTGGAAGGTCAGGTAGAAACTACCCTGGCTCCTCACCCAGCCCCCCTCACGTCGTTTACTTGGATCGCCGCGGGGGGGTGATAAGAGGATAGGGGGGTACAAGTGGATGCTAAGGTGGGCTCTTCCAGCCTGACCCAGCTTAGAAAAGGGTTGCACGTGCCCCAAGTGGCGTAAGGGCGTACAGATCTTGGATAAGATGGCGGAGCCCACTTAGAGGGGTTACCTCATCATGCTAAGCCATACAGGGCACTTGTAACCCACTTACACCGTGGGTTAGGCAAGATAAAACCCCACGGTAGCATGCACTTCTACCCACCCCATCCCCCTAGCAACCACCGCGGCGATCAAAGTAGGAGCCGATGCTGTGCTGACGGAGTGGCGCCCTCGCCGGCTCTCGGGACCCTCAGGACACGACTCGGGAGGAAGAACCAGCCACGGGGAGCGGGTCGGGACCTGGGGGAGCCGACGCCATTGGAAAATCACGACGTCGGGGGCCTGGGTCCTTAGAAGCCTCCCTTGAGGGGCCTCGATCCCTGATGCGGAAGGCGCCGGAAGCAAGCTGGGCTTCCGCCGCTCCCGTGCAGGGAGAGGGGGCGGGAAAGCCACTCGATCATGGAAGCAGGAGGGCGCCTGAAAGTAGATCGGGATCTGGAAGTCCAGACACACCCCCTTTCAACGACCGACGTGTACAGTAGGAGCTCGACCTCAAGAAACCCTCCACAAGAAGCCCAGCACTGCGACCCCAGGACGTCCACTGATTCCTGGTGCGTGTGCACGCCACCTCTTCTATCGCGAAACCAGTGGAACCCGAGAAACCCAGGGCACCCTGGAGGCAAGCAGGGTGTTTCTTGGCATGGGACTCCAATGTACAGTCGGGGCCTTGACCTAAGGAACCCTTATTGAGGAACGAGGCCCCTTTTTTCGTAAGTTCAACTTCGACTTCCCATCGAAAACCGAAGGGAAACCTTAGGCAAGGTGTGGAACAAGTAAGGAACATCGAGCCCCTCCCCAACGAAAAGGGTTCCTTCTTCAGCGCTCCGACGGTATCTCCTGTCCACAGCCGACGGGCAATGGGCGATCAGGAGTCGGTGCGTCCCGCCCTGGAAAGCCTGTCCCCCCCCTGCTCCAGCGCCCTGCCCTCGTCTTCGGAGGGCGAGTTGCGACAACGGCGGCTCAAAATCTGACAGGAGGAGGGGGAGGAGGGAGGAGGAGGAGGAGGAGGAAAAGGAGGAGGAGGAGGAAGAGGAGGAAGAGGAGGAGGAGGAGGGAGGAGGAGGAGAAGGAGGAACATGAGGAGGAGGAAGAGAAAAAAATCTGGATGAGGGGGATGATGATGATGATGATGATGATGATGATGATGATGATGATGATGATGATGATGATGATGAGGAGGAGGAGGAGGAGGAGGAGGAGGAGGAAGGGAGAAGGAGGAGGAAGGGAGGAGGATGAGGGCATTTTGAAGAGAAGGACAAGGGACAGTTGTCGAGCGTCGCACGCCAGAGCCCCCATTAACCGGGGACACGTCGACCCCGGTCCCAGGCCTCATGGGGTCTCCGGATGGACCAGAAATCTTGGGCCCAACCCTGGGATGCAGGACGGGAAGGCGTTCATCCTCGATAGGGGCGCGTCCGAATGGCCTCCTTGGACCTTGGGGCGTATCCCAAAGCTCCCCCCCCTTTTCTCAGCGGCCAAATTTTTCGGGCGGAGCTCTGGGATTGGGGGAGAAACATCGCCTGCGAACATACGTCCCCAGACCACTTTTCCAGAGGGGAAACGAACCAATGCTCCGAGCTGCGCCCAGCAGTGGCGACGAGGGGCCCCCTCGAAAGCCAAGGTCAACGACCACCTTGGCTCGCTGGCCCCCCGCCGCCCCTTCCCCTTGCGCGCGCCGCCGGCGGAAAAAGTAGCAAATTATTGATCGGCGCTCACACGGGCCCCGCGCGTCGCGGACGACTTGGACGCGCGACATGAGTACGGAAAACATGGGCACAATGCCCAGCAACAGATGCTGCCCCAAACCGACAGCGGTGAATAACGCGAATGTCTTCATGTCTTGAGTCTTATGTGAATAGCGTCTTCATATGTCTGCAGTGAATAACGTCCGCGGCGGCGCGGACAGCCAGCCTTGCTCAAAATGAGCAAATCATGCTGTTGGGCATCGTGTCCATCCTTTCCGTACCCATTTCGATCGTCCCGAGAGGAAGCTCCCGCCCATCTCGCGCGCACGGGAGCCACCCGACGAACGCCAGCCTCGGGGCGGGTGGGCGGGCCGCGCCTACCTCAGCCAGCGGTGCTGGCCGCGGTGCTGCGCGAGGTTGGCGGCGCCTGGGCGCGGCAGCGGAGGCGGCGCCACTCCGTCAGCACAGCATCAGCTCCTACTTGGATCGCAGCGGTGGTTGCTAGGGGGATGGGGGGGTTAGACGTGGATGCTAAAGTGGGTTCTATCTGGCCTAATCCAACTTGTAAGTGGGTTGCAACGGCCTTATGTGGCGTGGGATGGCGAGGTTACTCCGCTAAATTGGCTCCGCCCGCGCGGCCCAGATCTGCGCGCCCGGAAGCCACTTGGGGCACGTGCAACCCGCTTCTGAGCTGGGTTCGGCTGGATAGAACCTACCTTAGCATCCACTTGTATCCCCCACAATATTTCAGCAACCCCCGCGGCGATCCAAATACCCCGCCCCACAGTCTTGAAGCACACGGTGACCGTGGGCGCACGTTCTGCCCGGCGCTTGCGCTGCAGCAGCGGTGGCGGAGAAGGGCGGCGAGGGCGAGGATGACAACATTGATAACAACAAAAAAACGTGCAGGTGCTGCTGCCTGTCCCTCGGCGCCACAGCTGGATTCGCCTCGGGATCCTGGTCAGAACGTGCCGTGCCTCTTCGCTCCCCGGGAGACGGAAAGAACCGAGCTGATTTGATCCCCAGACGACGGCCTCGGCGGAGACGCAAGCGCAGCTTCACGCGCCAGGTTGGGCGCATTTCGAGCTGCACATGGCCCCTGCGGATCGGATGTGTACGCAGAGGCCGCAGGTGCTGAGGGGAAGCGCGGCTTCCAATGGCTTTGCTTTGTTGCGGGCGACTTGGCAACGTCGGCGGCACACTCTGATCGGCGTGGCCTTCCTCACACACGAACAGGAGGATTATCGGGGGAGCGGCGTCTGGACATCCGGCGCACTGGCCCCAGACTAAGTAATCACGCGGGTCTCCAAAAACACTCGGCCTCGCCCTTCGTGCAGAATTCGCGCCGGGGCCCATGTCTTGTGGAGCCAAACGGGGGGCCTCTTGGGGCCCGAGCCGGCCGTGCACTTTTTTTTACTAGCTCGAGAGGTCGCCCCGCGGCAAAGGAGGAAGAGGAGAGCAGAAGGGGGAGGGGGGAGAGGAAGGGAGGAAGCAGCAGCAGAAGCAGCAGCAAACGCAGAAGGAGGCGCGCCCGCCCGCGCACGGACCGGCGGGCCCCCGCCTCAGCCGGGCTGCGGCTTTGCGCAGCCCGGCGCCGCGCCCCCGCGGCTAGGCCGCGGCGCCCAGGAGCTCGGCGAGCTCGAGGAGCTGCGGCGCGGCCAGGCGCGCCACCTGCCGCGACACCCGGCCGCGGGCCGCAGGCAGACGCCGGCCCTCGGGCAGGCCGAGGTGGCGTGCGGCGGCCCGGACCGGCGTCCAGCCGCGCTGGAGGAGGTCGCACACCTCCTCGCGCAGCGCCTCCGCGGCCTCCGCGGCGGCCGCGTCCGCGGCCGCGGCCCGGGCCTCCGCCTGAGCGGCCGCCGCAGCGCGGGCCGCCGCCTCCGCGCGCGCCGCCGCCGCGGCGCCTGTGGCGGCTCCGGCGACCGCGCCGCCAGCCCGCGTGTCCCCCGCGGGCAGGGTCGTCGCCGGCGGGGCGTAGAGCCCGGCGGCCTCCTCCGCCGCCAGGTCAGCCCAGAGCCGCCGCTTCGCCGGCTCCGCTCCCGGCGCGGCCGCCCCCGAGGCCAGCGGGGCCGCCGGTGGAGCCCCAGCTCCAGGCGCTGCCGCCGCGGGCGGAGCGGCCGTTGGAGCCCCTGCTCCCGGCGCTGCCGCCGCAGGCGGAGCTGCCGTCGGAGCACCCGCTCCCGGCGCTGCCGCCGCCGCGGGCGGAGCCGCCGTCAGAGCTTCCGCGGCGGGGGCCGCCTGGCCCCGCGCCCGCGGCGGGGTGGCGACGGCGGCAGCCGCGGCGCGCCCCTGCTCAGCCGGGGCAGGGGAGCCTGAAGCGCCAGCCTCGCCCGGCTGGCCTGCGAGCTGCGCCCAGTCGAGCCCGTCGTACTCGCGCTCGATGGGGTGCTCGCCTGCGTCTAGCGGGAGCGCCGGCGGCCCTCCCGTCGGAGAAGGCCGGCAGCCACCGCCTCGGCTAGGACGCCAGCCGCGACCCCCTCGGCCGCGAAGCCCCAGCCGCTCGCCCTGAGCGCCGCCGCCACCGCCTCCGCGGGGGGCGCTGCCTGCGGGTCCCTCGGGCCCTTCGCCCGCGGCGCGCTGCCCGCGCCGCCGGCCGCCGCGGCGGCCGCGCCGCCGCCGGACCCTGCTCCTGGCGCTGCCGCTGCCTGCGGAGCTGCCGGTGGAGCCCCAGCTCCCGGCGCTGCCGCCGCAGTCGGAGCCGCCGTCGGGGCCCCTGCTCCTGGCGCTGCCGCCGTGGGCGGAGCTGCCGTCAGAGCCCCTGCTCCCAGCGCTGCCGCCGTGGGCGGAGCCGTCGCGGGAGTCCGCGCCGCCGCCCCCGGGGAGCCGCTCCCGGAGCCGCTCGTGGCGTCGCTGTAGCTGCTGCCGCGGCTGGCCCGAGCCGGCCGTGCACAACTCTTCATGGCGCTGGACGTGTGGGTGCGCAGCTGCCGCCGCCGCCGCCGCCGCCCCACACCTCCAAAGACTCGAAGGCCGCCGAGCCTTCGTCGTTGCTGCGGGCCCACTCCCCGTGGCGGGCTCCTCTTGCCGAGGAGTCGTGGACGGCCCCAGGCCTCTGGAAACGCCCGCCCGAAGGTGAACCTCAGGAAGACCTGTGGCGCGACTGCTGAGGAGAACAACTGTCGTGTTGGGAGGAAAGGGGTCGGGAGGAGGACAGGTCTGAACAATAGCATCCGGATACAATGAGAAAACCTTCGGCCGCCTGCGGTGAAGGATATCCTCATGCGTCCCAGCCCCATGCTCCCAACCCGATCGCCGATGGCTGTCTTCCTGAATTGCTGTGGTCAAGTCGCCAGAGGTCTGGGGCCTCTTCCTCCAGATCGCTCCTGGGGCGCGTTCTGATCGCGCTTTGGACGGGGATCCAACCGTGGGGGCAAACATCTCCCCGGAGGCCCACAGGGCCCAAAATGATTCAAAAACCTCCCTGAAGCCACACGCAACAAAAACAGGACTGACCCCCGAGGGAAAGAAATTACCGAGGAACCTCCAACGCGAGTTTGTCGAGACTCGTCGGCCTTCCCCCCGCCTTCCCCCCCTGCCCTTCGTCCTGCGCGAGCGCGTTGTGCTCTGCCATGTTTCAGCCCGCCGAGGCGGACAGTGCCCGTTGTTGGCACGCTTGGAACTTTGTGGACGATGACATAAACGCTTGGGCTGAACTGCCCCTCAAAGACGTCTGCGTAAAATCTGAGGACTGTGAAACGGACGTGCTATTGAGTGAGCAAGCGCCGTGGGCAAAAGATCACTCCCCCTCTTGTGCGGACACCAGACGGACGACGACGACGAAAACAACGACGACGACGAACACGACGACGACGACGACGACGATGACGACGACGACGTCGACGACGACTGCGACGACAATGACGACAACGACGACGAACACGACCACGACGAAGATGATGACAACGCTGGGAGGGTACTCAGAGGTTCAAGGAAGGGCCAACTGCACGGGTCCTGCAAAGAAGCTCCTGGGCGGCTCCTGACAGGCTCCTGTGAAGCCCCTAAGAGGCTCCAGAAACAAATCCGGCAAGGCTCCTCCTAAGCGATTAAGATATGTTTAAAACAAAAAACATTGAACGCGTGGGCGTGGGCTCATAAGAAACCCGTGACGGGCTCCTGACAAAGCCCTCTGGAGCTCGTGAACAGCTTGCAAGACCCGAAAAAAAACAATTGAAAAAGCCTCGGCGGGGCTCCTGAGGAATGCCTGCGAGCCGCCCCGAAAGCTCGCCGAGGAGCTCATGGCACAACCGTAGAGGCTCCTTAAATACTCTTGAGAAGCCCCTGATAAGGAGCCCACAGAGGACATACGCGCCCAGCTGCGGACATGAACACGGCCCCTTGACCCGCGAGGAGCGGCCGCGTGACACGAACACTCGCGCAGTGCGAACTCTCGAAGCCAGCGCGGACTCCTGCACGTGTACGTCCTCCTTTTGCTCCTGACCTGAGGAGCTCCCGGTACTCTCCTGGGAACTATCGGGGGAGGGGGAGGAGGAGGAGGAGGAGGAGGAGGAGGAGGAGGAGGAGGAGGCGGAGGAGGAGGAGGAGGAGGAGGAGCAGGAGGAGGAGGAGGAGGAGCAGGAGGAGGAGGAGGAGGAGGAGGAGGAGGAGGGCATTCGCCTGGGAAACACCTGCAGGCTCCTCGGTGGGCGCCCCACGTGGCCGCCCCGCCCCTCGGCGGCCGCCCGCCTGCTCTCTGCGACTCGTGCCCGCCCCGACGCCCCGACAAAAGGTCGTCCCGCGAAGGGTGGCCCTGGCCGCCCAGCTCGCCCTCCGGATCAGCAAAAGCAGCTGCTCGAAGAGAGAGGACATGCCTTGATGAGCCCCACGGTCTCAGAAGAGGTGACGCCCCGAAGAAGGGTCGTCCCGCAAAGGGTGGCCCTGGCCCCCCAGCTCGCCCTCCGCATCCGCAAAAGTCGGCGCTGGACAAACCTCCCTTTAGTAGGCCTCCCCTTAGTGAAAACGGCCTGGGACCGAAACCGACGGGCCTGGACTCGCAAAAATGACGGCCGCGACGCCCTCTCGCGAACCGAAAACGGCCAATTCCTTAGTCGACGTGTCAGGGTAGGAGGTCTGTCCACCCCCGAAAAAGCAGCTGCTCGAAGAGAAGACATGCCGGTTCACCCGCGTCGGGGGGGCGCGGGCATGGATCAGCGATCCATGGATTTGGCGCGCGGTCGCCAGAGCCATGGATCGGGGGAGGTGCCCTCCCCCGAATGCGGCCGGTGCCGCATCGATCACCGGCGGAGATCCGCGATTTCCCATGGAAACGGGACCCGTCGCTAATCCACGCCCCCTTAATCCATGCTTGCGATCGCCTGACTGATGAAGGCTTGCTGCCGGGCCGGCGACGTTTCGTTGGCACCCCTAGCTGGGGGGGGGGTGATCCTGTGCGCGGGCGGCTCCTGGGACTTCGGCCACACGGCCCGCGAGTCCAGGGCCCTCCTTAAGGGAACGAACTCTATACACCGACGCTTTTCCCGACCCTGCGCTGAAAATCGCACAGGAACGCGGATTCTGGTGTATACGGGATCCTGGTGTATACATTTCGGGTTCTTTCCCTTGGAAAACGGGGGAACAGTATACACCACACCACCCCGACGTCGCCCCCGACCCTCAAGAAAAGAGTCCTGGGATGGAAGAACAGCCCGCCGCTGGTAATGTTCTAGGCTCCAGTCTGCGACTTCTCGCCCCAGGCCCACGCATCCCTGGGCTCTTCGGCAGAGGGGCCCCCGACAACCCGTGGACCCGCGCTCGCGGGCGCGCCGCTCCGTCGGGCGCGCCCGCGCGCCCCTGGGCCCCCTGAGCCAGGGGCCGCCTCCGGGGCCCTGGAGCGCAGGGCGCGGGCCCCACGACGGAGAGCCCACGACTCGTGGGCCCTGCCCTTCGGTCGGGCGTGTGCCCCCCTACAGGCGGGTTTTGGGCCGAGAAGCGAGGCATAGAAAAACCAGGAGCAGTAGAAACATCGGCCCCGTTCTATCTTCTCGAGGATTTTTGAGCATGCCTCCTGTAGAGGGGCCGGCCCGACCGAACCCTATCATCAAGGGCCGAGGTCTGCAGGGCCGCGCAGTCAAGGGGCCTGGAGCCACGGGCCAAGGACTCCTGGGCCGTCGAGTCCAAGGCCCCTGAGTCTTGAGCCATTGAGCCCGAGGCACCCCTCATGCGAAGTGAGCGTTTTTTCCAGCGTTTCGACATTGGGACGCCCCTGAGGATACAAAGCAAGCTCGTCCTGCCTCGCGTGGACGGCGTCCGCCGCGACACCGATGGCGCGGGCATGGCAGACCCCGTCCAGGGTGGGCAGGAACTGCTCGGCGGCGAGCCCGGGGGGGGGGAGTGACAAGGCGCTGGCCTCCTCAGAAGGCTCGGAGGCCCCCCGGCCTCCTCAGAAGTGCTCCAAGCCTCCCCAAAAGACGCGGAACGCTTCTCAGAAGGCGCGAGGGCCTCTGAGAAGTCCCGCGCGCCTTCTGAGGAGGCCTTCTCCCTCCCTGATGGTCCGCTACCGAAAATTTCCGGTAGCGCTCCGCAGAGATCGGTCGCTACCGAAATACCGAAATGCAGCGCCCAATACCGGTATCAGACCGTTCTGAAATCCGCTATTTCAACGCCCTCAAACGAAGATCCGGTCGCTACCGGAATTCGGGGTGCGTCGAAATCGCTACCGAACATTTCCGGTACCAGACCATCTGGGCTCTCACTTCCCCCCCCCGGCGTGCCGCCAAACATCGGCCCAAATCGGCCCCCGGATCCCTCACGGGGTCCATCCGACGCGGTGTTGCCCCCCGGATCGAGCTCCAGGGGGGCCGCGGGGCCCCAGAGCGGCCTCCAGAGGCCGAGAGCGATGGAAAAAAAAAACTGCAAGCCTCGAGCCTCGAAGTTCGAGCCCCCCTCCCGGGCGTTGGCATTCCCAGATGGTCTGGTACCGGAAATTTTCGGTAGCGATTTCGACGCACCCCGAATTCCGGTAGCGACCGGATCTTCGTTTGAGGGCGTTGAAATAGCGGATTTCAGAACGGTCTGATACCGGTATTGGGCGCTGCATTTCGGTATTTCGGTAGCGACCGATCTCTGCGGAGCGCTACCGGAAATTTTCGGTAGCGGACCATCAGGGTTGGCAAAACTGGGGTTTCGTGGGACCTGGTTTGGTGATGTGGTGTGCTGGGGGACGCCCCCCCCCCCCCCCCGCCCCGTGCCCCTGAACGGAACTGCCGTCTCCCGCAAAAAAACAAAAGCACCAACTACGGCAGACCTGGTCGAGTGATGCTGGCAAATTCAATGGCTCCAGGGCCCTACTACGAATCGGGTCCCCTTACCTGGGGTCCTGGCTATGCCCGACCCTCGCTCGCTGCCAAACTGCTGCTGGTCCTTCGATCGCGCCGACCGCTGCCGCGGACCAGGTGAGGTTGTCGAGCCACCTCTGGGCCCCGTTCTGGGCCGCGCAGCGCGGCCGCTCGTCGCAGCCCCTCCTCCTCCTCCTCCGCCTCCTCCTCCTCCTCCTCCTCCTCCTCCTCCTCCTCCTCCTCCTCCTCCTCCTCACTCCTCACTCCTCACTCCTCGCTCCTCGCTCATGGCTCCTCGCTCCTGGCTCCTGGCTCCTGGCTCTCCTCACTCCTCGCTCCTCACTCCTCGCTCCTCGCTCCTCGCTTCTCACTCCTCGCTCCTCGCTCCTCGCTCCTCACTCCTCGCTCCTCGCTCCTCGCTCCTCGCTCCTCCTCCTCCTCCTCCTCCTACTCCTCCTCCTGCTCCTCCTCCTGCCTCCTCCTCCTGCCTCCTCCTCCTCCTCCTCCTCCTCCCCTTGGCGCCTCCGGCCGCGGGCAGGAAGTGGGGGATCACGGTGTCGTAGAGGATCCCGCAAGTGCCGCAGACCCACACCTGCCGAGACCGCGCAGGACATGTCGCCGCGCCGCGCGCCGTCTGATCTCTCGAAAGCGTTATGTTGCTCCCATCGTACTTCAGGAACACATCCCATAAACAATTTCAAGCACCCAGAAAAGTATCGAAACAGTGGCGAAACAGTGTTGAAACAGTGTCGAAACAGTGTCGGACGAGTGTCTCCCAGGGCCCGACACGTGAAGACCCTCGAGTTTCGGTACATTTGTTGTGCTCGAAACTATTTCCGGTGACCAGCGCTACAGTAGGCTGGAACACCATAACGAGAGCGATAATCACCCCGACACGCGGAGCCGTCTAGTAAACGCACCCAAAGAAGGAATCGAACAGGGCAGGGCTGATGAATGAACATCCCGGGCCGTTTCGTAAACGCCGGTGGCCGGGTCTCGTGTTTGTTCCTCCGCGTGGCGTTCTCGGCATCGACACCGTGGCAAACCCACCTCAAAACCTGCGCCCCACGCCGCCAGCAGACGAGGGCGGCACCGCGGCAAGCCACCACCGCGTCTGGGGCGAAGCTTGCCCTGGTGGCCGCGGCGCCCTCCCCGAGACGGCAGGCCGCGCGTCGGAGCAAACGGCGCGGCGACATCTCGGCCGGCATCGATCGCGAGATCGGGTCGGACCAGAACGCCCATCGAATCGGGCTGCCTCGGCTCGGAGTCGGAATCGAATCGTGCCGAGGTGCACAACAGGGCCACGCAGACATCGGGACGCAGAGGGTCCCCAGACCCTCGACGCCATGACTTGTTCATTACGTCGGCCCTCAGGTCTGGACCCCCTCCCCGGGACTGTCTTTGCCTCCCGACTCGTTCTTTGACGGCCCTGGTGCCCGGAGAGATCCCCCAAGGCCGAAAGCAATCAAAGAACCCCAGCCGTGATGCTCTCATGACCCGAAGAAGGTCTGGGCTTTTGAGCAGGGACCGACCGTCCCGGCATTCCTGTAGGCCTACCACGAAGTGTTCTTAGAACCCAATATGTTCTGAGAACAAACAATGTGATTCGAACATCACCCCGATACTATAAAACAAAACAATCGCAACCAGAAATATTCAAAGAACATTCCGTGAAAAACACGAAAAGGTTCTCAGAACCATGTTTGGTAGGCGCATAGGCACGCCAGGACGCTTCGCCACTGCCTGAAGCTTGGGTCGCGGGGTATATCAGAATCGGATCGGATCGGGCTCGCCGAAACCGATGGCTATTTTTGTTTGCCTGCAGAGCTACAGCTGTCAAACAGTGGGCACTGAGCCCAGCAGAGCACGGCGACAGCGAGACCGTGGCTCAGCGTTGCCCAAGAAGTTCTCAGCTTGTTGTTTGAGAGCAGGCCCCAGCTCCCTTCGCAGAGGGAAGAGGAGCTTGCTCACTCTGTGCCGCCCTATCTCCGAGGAGGCGCCCCGCGATGCTCGGGCACCTGGGCCTGGATGTCCTTGCTGCCCGGGAGTTTTGAACGGACGAGCAACAAAGTGAGTCGTGCGCGCTCTGACAGGGAGCCCGATCGTGCCCGTCACGGGACGCAGAAGGACAGACGACAGGCCCCCTTCTCTCTCTCCCTCCCCCTCCCCCCTTCTCGCCCCCATCTCCGTCTCCACCTCCCCGTGGCCCTCCCTCCCTTGCTCCCTCCCTCCCTCCCTCCCTCTCTCTCTCTCTCTCTCGGAAGTATTTCTCCCAACGCCACAGCAGAGCCCGTACAACACCCGAAGGACGAAGGAAGGGTTCTGCGCCCAACCCCGTGCGCATCAGCGGACGCGCGGTCCAAACGCCCCGGGCCCCCCCCAGTACAACTCTAAAACGGGCTTCCGTCTGCGGGGGGGGGGCCCTGGGGCGATCCACTTCTCCGGATGGAACGTTGTTGAGGAGATGGGATGGAGCCTGGCTTGGGCGACTCTGCCTATCGGGCGTCCTCTTCCTGCAACTCTGCCTGGCTTGGCCTCTGGTTTGGCCTGGCTTGGCCGCGCGTGGCGCCCGAAGTATCCTCAGAACCTGCTTGGTTTGGCCCCTGGTGTGGGCCCCATTTCGCGTGACCATGATTCGAACTTGCCCGGCTTGGCGTGGTTTAGCCTGGTATGGGACCGGCTCCGCTGGAGACTTCCTCACGAATTGCCTGGTCTGGCCCTGGTTTGGGTCACGTTCCGCCTAGGATGGGTGTGTAGAAACTCGAGATAATCGCACTGCATGCGATGAAGACACCGTGTAGTCCACACACACACGCACATGTGTGTATATATACAGCTACACACATATATATACATATATATATATATGTATTTGTAGATGTATATTTACACATGCATGCATACACGTTTTGCCATCGAGGCGGAGCCCAGCGGCGAGAGGGGGAAGACGACGGAACACATGCATGCATACACACATACATATATACATATATATATATATACACACATATGTATCGTCTGCGCTGCAAAATGACGGGCGGAATGGGCGTGGACATTCCCAACACGCTGTGGATCGGTATGGGCGCGTGTAGCGGCGTTCGGAGAACACCTGTCCGAGCCTGGAGTGCTATGTGTCGTTCTTGGAGGTGCGCATCCGACCCGAACATGTCATACAAACATCTCTTGCGATCGTTCCCAAAGCAGAAAGCACCCACCACGGAGCGTATACTGTGAGATTTCTCGGCGCGCGCATCGCCCCTGGGGGGGGGGGGGGGGGGGGGGGGGCGACGCGCACACAGTATTAGTAGTTATGCAGGCGTGACGCCGACGTCAGGGCATCTCGTGGAGACCGCAGCCTCGCAGACAGAGGTCGGCTCTGTGCCCGCCCAGGGCGGGGGAGGAGAGCAGCAGGAGGCCGAGATGGACCAGGGGGAGGGGAGGGAAGGGAGGGCAGGACGAGCAGATGTGCGAGCACCAAGCAGGAGGAGACAATCGCCGAACTTGGCCGCCCCGACACGCAGCACGCAAGCCCGAGGCGCGTCGACGCAGAGCTCAGCGTGCAGACTGAGCACGCAGGTCCGGGGGGATACGTTCGCCAAAACGTGGGCCAACCCACGAAGAGCCGACACGCACCGTGTTCAGGACGGACGCTTGGAGCACGGCACGTGTTGCGCTTCACCACGGGTGTATGAAGGGGCCCTAGGACACACAAATAAATACACAAAAATAAAATGAATCTCCATATTTTCCCATATTTTCTGGGTTTCTGTCTTCCCCCCCACTTCCCAGATTTTCCCATATTTTCTGGGGAATCGATGATTAATTGTGTCTGTGTGTTTTTTCCCCCTGCTGAGTGTATCAGGGCAGCTCCGGCGCGGAGGAGGTGGAGCACGCAGGGAGGCCAGCAACGGAGCGCGCCGAGGCCGTGACTCTGCAGATGGGGACGACGGGCAGCAAGAGGAGCCGGGGCCGAAGAGGGGCATGGGAAAGAAGCGGGAGCCGCCTCGGGGAGGCACGTGATCGTTATCTCATTCCCTGTTTTGCCGTGCGGCGCGGTCCCTCGCACCCCCTCCTCCCCCTTGGAGTGGATCGTGGCGGTCTTGGGCGCCCGTTTCAAGCGGGTGGAGTCTCCCCCACAGGGCGCACAGCTGCAAACCGCCGCGTGAAGCTGAGGTCCGGAGCCAGACCCCAACCCATCTGGTTAGGCGCCGACTTGCGGCAAGCCACTTCCTAAACACCACTTCGGGGTAGGGGGGCGTGGTCTCGTCATGGGGGCTGGATAGTCCTCGACGTCAACACCTTGCGAGTTCTCCTCAACCGGCCGACGGAGTTGTTCGTCAGCTTCGTGGGTTGCCAGCGCGAAAAACATTCGCATCGGCAGGACACTACACGAACGCTGCGCGTTACAAGGAGGGGGATGGGTTACCCATCCCCCTCCCTTCCGCCCCATTTCGAAACGCCCAAGAAGAAAACGCCCACCACGGCGGCACCAAGAGCGGAGCGAGGGGCGCGGGAGCGGATCGGGGCCTCCTTCGGCCCCCCGTCGCACCCGGAGCCCATCTGCGGCTTCCGGTCCCAGCCTGAGTTGCCGCCGGCCGCCCGCGGGGCCATCGAGACAGGGCTCGAGCCGAACAGTGCGTTTCGTTGTCGTTCCGTGTTCGCTATGCTTCTTCGGAAGCCTCCTGGTTGCAATCCGAATATTAGATGTGGTCGGAGGATCGCGCCGCATCGCCAATGCATCGCCGATGTATCGCCGATGCATCGGCGATGCATCGGCGTGGGGAAGCACGGTCTCCACATCGAGCCGCATCGTCGATGCGTCGGCGATGCGGCGCGCTCCTCCGACCCCATCTGCTCGGGCCCCATCTGGGAGGCCCAGACTCCTTCTGCCTTCGCTCTGCCTCCGCTGCGGAACGGAGCCGCAACGACAGCGGCCCACGAGGTCGCCAGAGCACCGTTCAGCGCGAGCCCTGGATCGGGAACCACAATCGGGCGTTGGCAAAACTGGGTTTAGAAGAACCTGGTTTACTGGTCTGTACCGGGGGCGCCCCCCCCGTCCCATTTCCACTAATCTGAACTGCCGTCACTCGAAAAAATACCAGCTATGGCAAAACTGGTTTAGTGACTCCGGCCAAGTCAAAGGCTCTGGGGCCCTACCACTAACCGGGTACAAGCAGCACATAACATACGCCCTTTGGCCTTTGGCGGTCCGAGGGCATCTCGCGGGTCGGCATCACGGGCCCTCCTCTCCGGGCGCGCGGAACGCGCTCCACTCGCCATCGCTCGGACGTCCACTCTCCCGCTGCACTTTTGTCGGCTCCGTGCGCGCGTTTCGTTCGCAAGATGGCTCACCATGATGGGCCTGCTTTCCACCACCACCACCACCACCACCACCACCACCACCATAAGTTGGAGGGGGAGGGGGTCCACCTCCTCCTCCTCCTCCTCCTCCCCCCCCCCTCCCTCCTCCTCCTCCTCCCCCTCCTCCTCCTCCTCCCCCTCCTCCTCCCCCTCCTCCTCCCCCTCCAATTTATGGTGGTGGTGGTGGTGGAAAACAGGGCCATCAACACACGTCCGAGCGACGCCAAATCCGGGGTGGGCGCAGGCCGCGCCGCCAGGTACCGAGCCGGCCGGCCGGCGCCGTGGCTTTGGTTGGTCGTCTATATGCCTGCGTTTCTGCGTCGACGAGCCTGGAACACCCGCAATGAGCACGGAGAAACAGGGAGTACTCGGATCGCCGCGGGGGGGTGCCAAATGGATAGGGGGATACAAGTGGATGCGAAGGCGGGTTCTATCCAGCTTGACCCAGCTTATGAGCGTGTTGCACGTGCCCTATATGGCTTAAGGGCGCACAGATTTCGGCTAAGTGGGCGGAATCCACTCAGCGGAGTTACTTCATTTTCCGAAGCCTCATTTGGCACTTGTGACCCACTAGTAGATTGGGTTGGGCCAAACGAAACCCGTTTTAGCATCCACTTCTACCCCCCCATCCCCTTCGCAACCACCGCGGCGATCCAAGTACGATGCCCAAAAACAAGCGCTGTCCAAAGCCGACATCGACCGCTGCTGGGCGCACGGGCTGAATTGTCAAATCGACAACGCCCGCGGCGTCACAGACAGCGAATCCGGTTCAAAACGTAAAGGTCGTCGTCGCCATTCTTTCGACCCGTTTCGTGGGAACCGCGAATTTATACCCTAAGGTATCTGGCCGCTGTCCAATGGGGCGTCGCAGAAACGCAACGTGGGGTGTATAATTTCTGGGCCGATTATCAGGGCGACACGTGTCGAACAAAGTATATACACAGCGTTTGGGTCGACACGTGTCATTGATTGGCGGATAAACAGAGTACAACATAGCACACATTTTCAGGACCCGACGTCGGCCGTACCGGCGCCCGCAAGGCATGGAGTAGCATAAGGGGAACGGGTCCTGAGGAAAACGGGTCCTGGACCTTGGGGCATCTCCCCCAGGACGAGATCTTCATCCCGAATCGTTTTCTGTCAGTCCCAAGGCCCGTGGAGGGCCCCGAGACCCCGAAAACGGAGACGAACCTCGGGAGACCCACTTCCCTCAGGACCCGCTTCCCCCATGGCGAATGGACCAGGCAACGCGCCGGTCGCCCGGCGCCCGGTGCCAGCTCCGATCTGGCCACGACACGCCCGATCGCACGGGCCCCTGCTCCGATCGCCGACCCTGATTGCGCGGCAAGGAACCATCCATATTCACCGCCTGGAAACCGACGCCCTGGTGCCCCAGCGGGCGGTGGCTATGGATGTGGTTAAGGATGTATATATGTATGTGTATATATACATATATATATATATGTGTGTGTATGTGATAGGGGGCTGCCCAGGTCTACCTTCGGGCCCTTTCAAGAGATGCTAAGTAACAGCCTTTCGTATCAATCGTATGCTCACATGCCACGTACGACATATGTTGTTTGCGGATATGTGTTCCGATCCCGAGTCCGACTGAAGTTTGTACATCGGATAATGACGACACGTAGTGTCGACAACGGTTCGTGTGAATGACGTTCGTGCGACGACGACGTGGGCACTTTGATCGCGCGTTTTATGCCGCGGACGAAGCCCGTCCCGGTTACGGGGCCTGACAGAAACAACAACGCGACAACGCCGAACAAAAACTAAGGTTTAGAGCTCAACTCAGCCAACATGTGTCCGGTTTTTGACCGCAGATCTTGCCCAGCGTTCCAGAGAAGAAAAAAAAACAGAGCGCGTGCGATTACCCCAAGTGCACGGATTAACCGCAGGGGACATGCCCCCCATAATACCACGTACGTGGCGCCATATTATATCGACGAATTGCGTGCCACCCTTTGTGCAAACCACTTCTCCGTTGGGCAGGCGTTGGCGAAAAACTTGTACACGCTTGGGCCGAGCCCACTTGCCATTGACCTTCTTTTTCTTATGCACCACGAGGTCGTGGACAATTCCACCAATAGCCCTCTTCCTGTCGACGCCCATCTTGTAGGAACGAGCGCCATCGGTGCATAGGAAAAAACGCATCGGCCCTTTAACCACTTCAACGCCTGAAGTTCCCAATCTTTCTTCGCGATTGGCCCAGGGCTAGGCGATCGCGCTTGCGTGAACTTCGGCGACGTTCTGGACATCATCAACGAAGACGGCGTACCTCTCTGCACGATCCCGCCCCACTGATGCAATTTCGCCCGCTTGCCACCCGCAGTGCGCACGATTTCCTCGTTCAAATCAACTTCGTCTGCTTCCACATCATGCCGCGCCCCAGTGCCACCAGAGCCAAATTTTATATTTGGCTCCTGCATCCTCACGAAACGAGAACGTACAGCGTCCAGCCGCGACGCAAAGCGTCTGACATACTTCTCATCGTGTTCTCACAACACATGGGGCTGCGCTCTTGTTAAGCCATCTACGATCCCCAAGAAAAGTTGTGCCTGCGATGCCAGCGGCCTGTAACCCTTGCCACTCCAAGTTGTACAGACCTTGTGGTTCGCATGAGGCAAGACGTGTGTTTGACAACCCTTGGCGTTGCATATGTAGCTGAGAGGGCCGCTGTCCTGGCGCCGCCGCAGCTTCCCAACGTTGCAAGCACCACAAAACGAGCAAACATGCCCAGTCCAGTTCCTCCAAAAGCCTGTCTTCGTTAATTACTTGGCCGAGTGCTGCACAGCCAAGCGGTCCATTTTCTCAATGCGCATGGCCCACTTTTGAAACTTGCGTTTGGTGTGCCGTTTGATGTCGTATCTGACATACAGCGTTTTCTTGACGTAAATCTTCTATGGCACAGAAGCCGCGCCCTCCATGATGCTCTCAACTTCTGGTGTCGTAATTCCTTGCCGCTTCCTGTCCGAAAACTATTCGAAGCATAAGTTCCGTTGATTGTTTAACCTGCGGGCCCTGATTTTCCTGTGTTCCCTTAGGTGTTGGCAGATGTTCCTGTTGTTTGTTGGTTTCTTGCTCCCCGCGCCCCTTGGGGTGAGATGGAGGCGGCGCTAGGGGGACCAGGGCGACGAAAACCAACAAAAACATGAAATTCAGTCAACGCCGAAGGAAAAACATGAACATGACAGCCCCCAAGCACAACAATCAGCGAAATCAATGCCCCGAGTGGCTTTCGGACGGGAAGCATTGAAAAACCTACGGTTTGCGTGATTCGATTTTTCATAACAACAGAACAAGTCGGGGCCTAGGTTTCGCTGCGCCCTCTCTGGGGGTGAGGTGGAGGCGGCGCGCGGGGGGTCAGGGCGACACGAAAACTAACATAAACAGGAAACTCAGTCAAAACCTACGGGGAAACATTAAAATCATAGCCCCCCAGGCGAAAAAACATTGAAATCAAGGCTTGGTTTTCAGACGGGAGGCCTTGAAACACCTAAGGGTTTCTTTCGTTTTTCATGAAAACCAGTCGGGGCCTAGGCTTCGCTGATTCTTTTTGCATGGTGCTATGCTTTTCCTGTTTGTCCTTAGGTTTTGATTGATTTTCCTGTTGTTGTTGGTTTTCGTCGCCCTGACCCACCTAGCGCCGCCTCAACCTCGCCCCCAGAGAGGGCGCGGGGTGCAAGAAAGAAACCAACAATTAGCCTGGCGAAGGACCCAACCATATGCAGTTGTGAGTAATGCTGGTGTGAGTACCGTCTTCGGTGGATCTCCCTATGGGGCCACGAACCGTTTGAGGGGTGTGCCGAAATGGGTGTGGGGGCGGCATGCGAACGTTGCCACTGGGGCCTTCGGTGGAGCTCCTTATGGGGCCACGAAACGTGTGAGGGGTGCACCGAAGTTGGTGTGGGGGCGGCATGCGAACGCAGCCACTGGGGCCTTCGGTGGAGCTCCCTGTGGGGCCACGAAACGTGTGAGGGGTGTGCCGAAATTGGTGTGGGGGCGGCATGCGAACGCAGCCACTGGGGCCTTCGGTGGAGCTCCCTATGGGCCACGAAACGTGTGAGGGGTGTGCCGAAATGGGTGGTGGGGAGGCATGCGAACCAGGCCACTGGGGCCTTCGGTGGAGCTCCCTATGGGGCCACGAAACGAGGGGTGTGCCGAAATGGGTGCATGCCACTGGGGGTGTGAAAGGGGTGGCCGAAATGGGTGGTGGGGAGGCATACGAACCAGGCCACTGGGGCCTTCGGTGGAGCTCCCTATGGGGCCACGAAACGTGTGAGGGGTGTGCCGAAATGGGTGGTGGGGAGGCATGCGACCTGCCACTGGGGCCTTCGGTGGAGCTCCCTATGGGGCCACGAAACGTGTGAGGGGTGTGCCGAAATGGGTGTGGGGGCGCATGCGAACCCAGTCACTGGGGCCTTCAGTGGAAATCCCCATGGGGCCACGAAACGTGTGAGGGATGTGCCGAAATGGGTGTTGGGGAGGCATACGAACCAGGCCACTGGGGCCTTCGGTGGAGCTCCCTATGGGGCCACGAAACGTGTGAGGGGTGTGCCGAAATGGTGGGGAGGCATGCGGACCCTGCCACTGGGGCCTTCGGTGGAGCTCCCTATGGGGCCACGAAACGTGTGAGGGGTGTGCCGAAATGGGTGGTGGGGAGGCATACGAACCAGGCCACTGGGGCCTTCGGTGGAGCTCCCTATGGGGCCACGAAACGTGTGAGGGGTGTGCCGAAATGGGTGGTGGGGAGGCATACGAACCAGGCCACTGGGGCCTTCGGTGGAGCTCCCTATGGGGCCACGAAACGTGTGAGGGGTGTGCCGAAATGGGTGGTGGGGAGGCATGCGAACCCTGCCACTGGGGCCTTCGGTGGAGCTCCCTATGGGGCCACGAAACGTGTGAGGGGTGTGCCGAAATGGGTGGTGGGGGAGGAGGGAGGGGGGGGAGGAGGAGGAGGTGAGGAACGCGGGGCGCCGTCTCTTCAAAACGAGGACACAACACCACAGGATGGTTGGGAAAAAACAGGAACGTCAGTAAACCCAAGGAAGAACCAAACAATCAGGACCCCAGGCGAAAACATCAATGAAACCTATATCTCGACTAGTTTTCGGACAGGGAGCGGCAAGGAATCACAACAGAATTACACAGAAAACTAACAGAAGGAACATGAAGAACAGCAGCGCCACTAACAAACCAAAGTGGAAACGCTCAAAGGCAGATCTTGGGATCCCCCCCTACCATTTACATATATATATATACACACACATATACATGTATGTATATATATATATATGTATATGTGTGTATATATATAGGCCCCCGAGGGCCCGAATGTATCCACATCCACCGCCTTTGGAGGTCCGCGAGGATCGATCCCCCAGGCGGTGGACACGGATAAATCCCAACCTCGGGCCGAAGGCCCCGCGGGCCCCTGGGGCCGAGCGGAGGGTCGGCAGCCGCTCCGAGCAGCTCGAAAGCCTGAGAAGTTCCCATATTTCGAATTCGATCGCGTACGGTGGGTTCAGGTCGGGTGTCCTCCTACAGGCGAATTTTAAAAGAAAATGAAGAAATAAAAAACTAGTTAAAACAAATGCTAAAGAACCGTCCGAAGACTTGTTTTTTTAAACTATGTTTTCTATATTCCTCCTGTAGAGTGACATGCCCGACTTCAATGTAGGTTCGTGCAGCGTCGTCGCGCGCAAAGGGTCTTGAACCGCGTCGACCGTTCGACCTTGCATCGATCGCTGCCCCGATCGTTCAACGCTGAATTCAGTCGGATCCAAGGAGACACCGCGTCCCTCGGTGCTTCCGCGTCGCATCATTCAAGCTTGCACGCCTGCGCAGGCGTCGCCGGCACGGCATCGCTGCAAGAACGTACCGTATTCTGTTCGCGGGAGGGCCCAGAATGTTCCTGGATGGCCCAAGCAGGAAAAAATGCACCCAGATCCAGACCCAAGAAGAAGATACCAAGAAGAAGATACCCAGATCCACCGCCACCTCGGGTCCTGGGAGGAATGCGGACCTCTTACGGATTGAAAGAACAGTGCGGGGAAGGTTCGCCGTCTTTATCTTCCGTGGGCCCTCACCGGGCCCCGGGGCCGTCAACAACCGACTGAGTTCAAAAACTCAGCGCGAGACTTCCAGGGCCCCTGTACTGAAACTGATACAGAATCGAGTCATCGGATATCTGGGATCGGTTTCCAAAGAGGTGGATATTCGGTACATCCTGGCCTCATGTCCGAATCCTGGGGCTCGGGTCCGACTCCTGGATCCCATGGCGAGCGAGAGCTCCCGAATCAGAGGCCCCTGCCGCAAGCTTTCTCCTCCTCCTTCGTCCGCTCGAGCCGGAGGTTGCCCTTCTCGCCCCAGTGGGACCCCCACGAGTTCTTGATGAGCCAGTAGCGCTGGGAGTAATCCTCCCCGTAGCCGAAGAGGACCACCGCGTGGTTGATGACGTGATCCTCTCGCCACTCGTCGACTGCACACCGAGTCGTCTGGTCGGCCGAGGAGCTCGGTGTGTCGACGCCCCGGCTGCTCACGCTGTGGGACGCTGGAGCGGCCACGCACCGAATCTATTCGCCGAACTCGAGTGGCTCCTTGGCCGACCAGGCGACGTGGTGTATGCATCCGCTGCCTACGACAGACCTTCCCGAATAGTGCTTCAGTGCAGACCTGCACCCAAAAGATAAGCCGACAGGTCTCCAGACCGGATACCTCCAGCAGTTCCCAGCCCCCCCCAGGAAGTCTCCCGCGCCAAGGCCACCACACAGATCAACTCAAACAAACAGATTGATCACTGACCCTCCTCTTCCTCCTACTCCTTACCTTCTTCCTCCTAGCCAAGCGCTCCCGAAGAGCCATCGAACACCACATGTGTCGAAAGATAGAGTGAGAGTAAGAGGGATAGAAATATAGAGAGAGAGAGAAGAAAATAAGAGACAGAACATGATACCACACACACGCAGAAGACGAGGAAGAGAGAAAGAGAGAGAGAGAGAGAGAAAACACAGACAACACCAAGATAAAAAGGAACACAGGAAGACCAGACAACTCATGGGCAGCAATCGCATGACCACGTCGTGTATATATATGTATATATAAACACACGTCCTGTCTGTGGGTGTGTACATGGATACGGCCCAGCCAGCACAGGGGGGCAAGAGAGCGCCCCTCGAACAGAGGACGAGCCGCACGTCCTCTCTGTAGGTGTGTATAGATGCGGCCCAGCCAGCGCAGGGGGGCAAGAGAGCGCCCCTCGAACACAAGACGAACCGCCTCGCCTCTCGCCACATCTCTCTCGCGGGGGACGGCGTCACCACGGCCTCCTCTCGCCCCACCGCGGCCGCCCACTGCGGCTCGGAGGAGCTCTGGGCTCTCGAAGAAACAACAGCAACACCTGGAGGGAAGGAGGAGGAGGAGGAGGAAGAGGAGGAAGAGGAGGAGGAGGGCACGAAGCTCAGGAAGAGGAGGAGGAGGAGGAGGAACCTCCTGGTGCGCGCCCAGAGATCGGATCACGGTTCTATGCCAATCGCGGCTCCGCTCGGAGACGGCCGCGTTGAGGTCATTCGAGAGAACATGACCGCCGCAGCGGGAGGGGCAGGCGAGGGAGGGGGGCGGAGCAGGGCAACCAGTGCGAAACATGGGACAGTCATCTACAGTCGGGGCCTTGACCTAAGGAACCCTTAATAAGGAACGAGGTCCCTTTTTTTCCATACGTTAAACTTCGATGTCCGATCGAAAGCATAAGGAAAACCTGAGGCAAGCTGCGAAACACTTAAGGAACGCGGAGCCCCTCCCCAACGAAAAGGGTTTCTTCTTCAGGGCCCCGACTGTAGATCATGGCCGCAGTCCGATGACCAGAGCTGAAGAAAAGCAAGCGGTTCCAGTAATGCGAGATCGAACCCCCATGCACGGAACCGAACATACAGGCGCAACCATCCTGGAAAGCGTCGCTGCACACCCGAGCTGGTGCTGAAGTCTTCAGGGCAGCGCTGGCATGGGAAACTGGCAGACGACGAAATTGCATGCGCACCGCAGGCCACGTAATTCTGTACTCTGGGTGCTTGGAGCGGGGGAATGGCGCACGGAGGCGCCGAGTGAAAGCGGGGCTGGGTGGGGGGGGGGGAAGGTTGGGGGGGGGGGATGAAGCGCTCGCTAGTGCAATGCTTCGCTGATAGCCCGCTGCAACTTGAACTTGGGATCCCGACGCGCACCCCTGCCAACGGCGACAGACAAACTCCATGCAGCAAACACCTTCTTGCGAGGGTGGAAGCTTTGACTCGTATTGTCAAAGATTGCCAAAGCGCTCGACAAATGCTCTAGCACGCCCGAACAAAGGCGACACATGCCCTGAGCAGACAATGGAACTAGGACAGATGAGGGTGGGAGTGTATCTGGGCTCCAAATGCAACGGCCAATCGGCGGAAGTGTCGACCGCGCGTAATGCGGGCAGTCATACTCCGACAAACTCTGGAAACTGGGGCCGCCCCACATGCGCATGTCCAAGAAGCTGCTGCGTGCGAATCTGCGAGGTGGGACGCAGAGACAAGCTACATCTGGCCGGATGAAGCGGCGAGGGATACGAACTGGGGGACGCGCGACAGGACAAGGCGGGCGCGGAAATGATAGAGCATTGCGGCTGCCGTCGGAGGGGGCCTGGTCATCGCTGGAAGAGCGCTTCTCTCACGGCGTTTGGTGAGGGACGCAGTCCACTGCCAGCCTCGCATTTCGGGCCCCGCAGGCCCCGCCAGAAGGCCCAGGAAAAAAGAAACGACAAAACAGCCCCTGCATTGATCCTAGGTCATGCGGTCTTTTCGCGGACCTGAATCTACTCGAGCACTCTTGACGGCTGCGGGTCTGAGCAAGGAAGCACCGACGTCGTCGGCAAGGCATCTGGTCACTCATCTCCTAGGGGGATTCATGCGTTCACTGGCCTGCTTCATGATGGACCCATGGCCATGACCTATCATATCCGGGACGTGGGACAGCCCTGAAGAATGCCACGGCGACGCAGAATGATACGCCGCGGGCTCGACCGCGGCAGAAGAGATTGCGAGAGATGCCCCCTGGGGGCCGCGGGCGGGGAGAAGGGCGGCCCGGCCGACGGGGGGAGGGCCCCGGGGGTCCACGCGCGCGCGATGGACGGCAAGGCCTGGCCAGCGTCGACAGTGACGTGGAGGGGGGGCGCGGGTGCTGGCCTCCTCTCGCGCGCCAGCAGCTCGGCCCCGCGCATCCCGCTCGAAAGCGCTGGCCCCGAAGAGTCGACCAGCCGCGACGCCGCGCTGGACCGACTGCCTGCCAGACCACCCCAACCTAACCCGAAGGCCCGAATTAGAAGACCATGATTTCGGGTTGGGGGGGGCACGAGCTTCAAGTGTGTTTTTCAATGCTCCCCAGCCCGCCCCCCCCCCCCCCCCCCCCCACACACTGGGAATGGAAAGCAAATCGGCGCCTTCGGGTTGGGTTGGGGTGGTTTGGTGAGCGGTGGTGGATGGTGCCAAAGAGCTCCAGCGCGCTTCGCGAAGGCAGAGAACTCGCAGATGCACGCGCATACTGCGTACTTCACAGCGAGTATTCTAAACACAAAGGGCACCGCAGCTACTCGCCGAAGGGTCAGTTTGTCGACGCCGCCCCCCCCCCCCTACCTTTGCCATCCCACGTGGTGAATGCTCCTTCAGGCACGGTGAAGTCGCGGAGCACGCTCTGGTCAAAGAGCACCCATCGACAAACCTCGAGGGGCAACTCGGCTCTGCGAGGGCGGGGTTGCCGGGCGAAGCGCGGTGGGCCGCCGGGCCCGGGCGCGCTCGGCAGCAGGCGGGGCGTCGCGCGCTCGACCGGCGCGAGATCGGCATGGGGAAGGCGCGAAACGTCGCGGTCCACAAACGCGCTGAATTATTTTCCCCCAACATAACAAACGCGCTGAAAATATACGGCTGATGCCCTTTCGTGAACTGGTTCCTCCGAAAACGCTTCGCCCCGTGCGCCGCAAGCCCCGCGGGGGCCTGCCGGGGTCTCTCCCGCGCGAATAGCCCGCGAAGGCAGAGACGGCCGTTCAGCTTCATCGCCATTTCCCGCGCTGAAGCCCACGAGACACGCGACAACGCTTGGCTTTTCGAACTCACTACCAGCAGCCTGAACTCGGGCTCGAGCGTCGCCGCGCGCGCGCTGGTTCGCCACTTCACGAGGGGCACTGGTCAGCCCCGAAGGCCCCGCGGAGAGGGTCAGCCGAACAGTACTGGCGATCGGGTGGATTGAGAAACACTTCTGGGAGAGCGCGAGGGCCCTGGCAAGCTGGCCCCCCCCCCTGGGTGAAACCGTGGCGAACGACGGCGCGGCCGGACAATTTCGCCGCCAGGAATGTCGAGTTCGATGTTTTTCGGGCTTCCCAGGGCGAGATGATCACGAGCATTGCAGACAGCGTCTCTCGTGGGACAGCGCGCGCGTGAACTTCCAGATGGAAGCATGGCGCCATTCCAGGCGCGTCCGCAGTCTCAAATGCACTCTTCCAGACATTCCGAATGAGTCTGCACTGTGTAAACCTCGGGGCGACTTTCTTCATGATCGTCGGGGACCTGCTGACCCGGGTCAACCCAGACCCGGGTCAGTCGGGCCTTTCAGGATCCTGAAATATCCTCCAAGATCCTACGCCCAAGCCCGGGTCGATGCGATGGATTCTGCAAACCCTGAAGGATTCTGCACCCAGACCCGGGTCCAATGCGACCCTGGCCCTGCACAATCCTGCAAGATCGGACGCTCTGTCTGACCCCGTCTGCATCGACCCCCGTCCCAAGGCTCCCGAGATCGGTCATGATTTCGATTCCCGGCCGCAAGGTCACCGCGGCTGCGGCGTGCTCGGACAGCCCAATCCGGCGGAGCACGTCTGGGAAACCCCGGGCCTTCGCCGCCGCGTCGACTCGGGCGTCCAGGCTGGCAGCGGACAGCGCGCCACGGGCAACTCGAAAGCGCGCCGGCTCCATCGCCGAAAACCCCTCTGGAGCTTGGGAGCACCTCTCCCACTCGCTGTTGCGCTGGCCTGTGCACGCGGTGGTCCAGGACATCGCGGCCAGTCCGGAGCTCGCAGCGTCGGCCGGGCCCAGGGGCGCCGACCGAACACGGGAGGAAGAGGAAGCGCTGACATCGAAGTGAACTAGAGGTGCACGGTCCGACTAGAGAGGCCTCCCAAGCCCTGCGCTGGTCTCTGGACATGGCCACGATGATGAGGTCCCTGGCTCCGGCACCCGCTCCAATATCGTGAACTGGCGCATGAGCTCTGCATCGCTCGGGAACGCCACTGCGGCGTTCAAGACTCCGCTCGCGGCGCGGACGCCTCTGCGAGAGCCTCGGACGAGACCGAGCGGGGGCGGCCGTCGGCGACCTCGGGAAGGGAGGCGACAGCGCCGCCAACGGGGCAGGGAAAGCGGGAATACAGGAAGAGAGCGCTTGACCTGGCCTCTGCAGATGG